TATTAATCATTTTACTGGGGGCTCTTAAATGTATTATAGCACTCCATATATCCATTATATTAGGCAGATGTGTACAAATATTGCCATCAACCATTTCAAAACATTATCCCTATTTTACAAACATCCTGGCCCAGATGACATTACTAGTGAGTTCTACCAAATATTCACAGAAAAGCTGATATCAACTCTACTTAAACTATCCCAGAATATTAAAGAAAGATAAAATACTCCCAAATTCACTTTAAGAAGTGAGTAAACTCTAATCCAAAAGACAAGCAGAGACCTCAGTAACCAAGAAAATCATAGGCCAATAGTTCTCATGAGCATCCATTACTGCCTTCAGTCAATTCTGCCCATATAGGACAGAGTGGGACTGCCCCTGTGGGTAAGACTGTAACTGCTTATGAGAGCAGAAAGCCCCATCTTTCTCCCACAGATCGGCTAGTGGTTTTGAACGGCTGACCTTACTGCTAGTAGCCCGACTCATAACCCACTACACCACCAGGTTTCCAAGCCTCATGAACATAAACTTTCTCAACAAAATCATAGCCAACAGAATTGAATAACATTAAAACAAACAAACAAAAAAACGGCATACATAGTCCCAGTCTAAGAACAATTAGCTCTTATGACATGACCCTACTTGACATTAGCCCTCACAAAGAGATCACTGAAGATATGGGTGCTATAGCAAAGCGAGGCAATCCAACAGGTTCTGCGAGAGACAAATGTAGTGGCTCTCTTCTGCAAAGATGAACAACTTTAGAAACACCTTGGGGGCAGTTCTATACTATTCTATAGAGTTTCTGAATCAGAATTGGGTTTAGTAAGAGCTTTATTACCTAAATGTATGGAATTAATCTGGATCCTGATTTGAAGAAAAGATAAATATATGAGATTTATGATACAATTGGGGAAATTTGAAAGCACATTAAATATATTAGATGGTATTAAAGAACTATTGTTAATTTTCTTAGGCTTAGATCACAAGGCGTCGAAGAGATCAGGTATCAGGCATCAAAGACCAAAAAAATCATAGCATTGTGAATGAGAGGGAGTGCAGAGTGGGGACCCAGGGCCCATCTGTGGGCAATTGGACATCCCCTTGCAGAAGGGCCACGGGGAGGAGATGAGCCAGTCGGTGCAGTGTAGCAATGATGAAACATACAATTTTCCTCTAGTTCTTGAA